AAGCAGAACCAAAAGGCTTCTTTACTTAACCCAGCAAGAATCACAGCCTCATTCAAATGGGAATGATCTTTCCTGGGAAACCATGGTTTCTGGGAATCAAGTGAAGAAAAACCAGCTCAAGGCCACTGAATCGATTCCAGAAATAAACTCTGGCTGAGAACTCAATGTCACCACCTGGTTGCCTCAAATAACCCACACATTTCAAAGGTAATTGTCAATTAACTCGGGACCTAATTTTGAGAATGAAGTTGAAGAGAACGAATGGATGAAAATAATTATGCCTTTGCTATATTTGAAAATGGAACTATGTCCCTCTGTCATTAAGTCTCAGAATGATGGGCTAGAAATAGACATCATTTGTTCCACAAGCTGACTGAGTATTTGCTAAGTCTGGGAGGCAGGCTACAAAGACAAGGGAGACAGGGTTCCAGACTTCAAGTAGCTTAACCTCTATCAAGAGAAACCAACAGATGTCTAAAATACGTGATGCACAGAAGCAGAAGTATGTTCTTCCAGTGGTCATTCATTTTTATACCCCCTCCCCGTATGTTACAGGTGGCTTTGGGAGACACTCTGAAAGGAGTAAGTGAAAGAGTAAATGAACGAATTAACAAACAGTGCAAAGAGCATTCAAAAGGAAAGGAGGACAGGTAACAAAGGCCTAATAATGGGAGAATTATAATCAGAATGGAGGTGAATAAAATGCTAGAAACACTGAAGGGAAGAGAGGGATACAGGAGGACAAAATACAGGAGGACGAAAACTCTCCTAAAATAAAGTCAACGTTCCTTCTAAATACTACAGTACTACTTCAAAGACATTAAAAAAAAAAAAAAGGACAGATTATCAGTCTTCGGGTCTTCTGAGAGGAGATTAAACATCTCATGGATTCTTTTGGAGAAAAAGAAAAAAGAGGAAAGGGTCCCAGGATGCTTCCAAATCTGGGTTTACGGGTGAAATTGGGCTGACACCTCTATCAACCACCTTCTGTATTCAACCTCAAGGTATAAAATATTTGCCACCCACGTGAAAATTCAAATGACCCTTGAACAAAGCGGGGGTTAGGGGCGCCGACCCTCCGCACATTCAAAAATCCACGTAGGATTTACAGTCAGCCCTCCGCGTGCGAGGTTCCTCCACACCTGCGATTCTATACCCGCAGATCGTGTAGCGCTGCAGAGTTTACTACTGAAAACCGTCCACGTGTATGTGGACATGTGCAGTTCAAACCCATGTTGTTCAAGAGTCAGCTGGGGGTTCCTCTGTCCTCTCTTCCCGGGAACAAGCATCTGCCCTCCGGGGTAAGAGAGTAGAGCCCAAGGTCTCCATGCTGAACCTCAGTGCTTGGTCTGCCACGAGACTTAAAACCACCAACCTTCTCCCAGGTGTGACTCTTAAAAACAATTTCTGAGTCAACACTGAGCAGATATCACCTTGACCTGGCACCTTTTCAAAGTTGGTTGTTAATGAGATCACCTTTGTATTACTTGCTCCTCAGAGAGCCAGAAATTTACTGCAAAAAAGAGAGGGCTAGAGGGCTACTCTCCGGAAAAAGTGAGTCTTAAAACCACTGCCGAACATCTGGGAGCGAGGAAGGTTAACCTCCGCGTCAGCAGAGCCTTTGACAGTTAACTTCTAAAAAGCTTCACGTATTTGCCTGAATGAAAAAGGCCACTTGCTTTTTCTATCTCCCTCCAAGTAATTTGAAATTGTATGATCTGCTTGAGAAAATTAATTCTGCTAACTTAAATCTTCTAGCACTTCTTCATTCATCTGATATGCTAAAATACTTAGTGACTTGATGCAAACACACATTTAATTAGCATGATTTCCTCCTCTTGGCCCTTCTCTCACATTTAATTTTGTTTAGGAACTCCCTTGGTGGTCCAGTGGTTAGGACTCCGCACTTCCACTCCAAGGGGCTCGGGTTCGATCCCTGGCTGGGGAACGAAGATCCCGCAGCCTGCACAGTCCAGCCAAAAAAATAAAGAAATAATAATAATAAAATACTTTTTTAAAAAAAGGAGTTAATTTGGTTTCAAAACACATAATGAAATTTGTTCTAAATGAAGTTTTCTTTCAATAACAAGTTTCAAAACACAGCAACTGAAGAAGCCGTCCCTTCCTGCATTAAACCTACCAAGTATCCTGGTGGGTCTGAGGGCATTTGTGCAGCCCAGAGAAAGGAGAGCGAGGAAGATTCTGGGGCTGGTCAGGAAAAAAAAAATCTACCGAGAAAATGGCTGAGGCTAAAAATGGAGTCCAAGCACATGAGGGGAAGAATCAGAAAACATTCCACGCCTGTGTGTGGCCAGCTCCCCTCAAGTCCTGCCCTCCCAGTCACCTGGGCATGTTGGTACCCCGCCTCCAACTGTCACCGAATCCTTCCCTGACCCGGGTCACTTCGGGGTCACATGAGATTAAGAGGAACCAAATCACAGTAAAATACCAGTTTCTCTGCTACTGTGCTGGTCTTTCATATAAAAAGGAAAGAATGATGGACTGACAATTCTCCAGTTGTGAAGGTGAACCACTTAACCTTCAAAGCAGCTTTAAGCTCTCCTCAGTCTACAAACTTCACATATACTAGAAGTTCCTACAGCGTAAGTCGAGAAAACAAAATGTATTTTCACTTTTCCATAAATTTCCAAGCCTAGTGACAAAACAGACTCCATAGTTTACTAACTGGAATGCTTCTACTGTAAGATTTTTCCTTAGAAATGCTGCTGCTGTTACAAAAACCAGTGAACCCAAACATAGCCTCCGGAGAGCAGCTTTCATAAACGGCTTTCCTTCTAGTTTCCTTTAACGCCTGCTTTTGGAGAAGCATAACAAAGTTGAAAAGTCATAAATAATGCTTCATGGAAAGAGCCTCTCTTTGTCCTAACTGCAAGTTAAATCTTCATGAATCCTGCTAAAGAATATTCCTAAGGCCTGTGACACAGACAAACATCAGGATACAAGCACTGGCTCTCGATCTCCAGACTCCAGGCCTACCGCCACTGCTGCCCTTCCCCTCTGCTCAGTCTGTGAACGCTGCCCGGCGGCCTGTCCTTCCTCTCCTTCCTCTTGGGCCCCTCCAGGCCCGCGGCGCTCCCTGCGGCCCGAATAAGGAACGCCAGCCCCCATACCCACCCACCGCGCCTCCCTCGGGAAGGTCCGGGCTGCCCAGAGCCCCTCGCCTGCTTTCTGTCTCTCACAGCTTAATGAACAAAGGCACAACCTGCTTTTTCACAGGCATCATCTTCTCTCCCTCTCGGCTAGGGTGTAAAAATGCGTAAGAGAAAGAGGAGGTGGCATACGAGTACTGATGGGAAAGACAGGGTAACACACAGCTATATCAAAACAGGTGCTGTAACAGGTGTGTGTAAAGAAAGTTCTAGAGTGCAGGGGGAACAGCTGAATCTGCCTGGGGAAGTGAAGGGAAGCAGTACATAACTGCAGGGACCAGATCACGAGGATGAGGTGATTCAGGCTGGTGCTCCAGATACACACAGAATCTCTGATGGTTCAAAAGCAAGGGTGTGACGCAATCAAATTCATATGCCTTGGTGGCAGGGCTGCAGAGCCAGGGAGACTAGTTAGTGGTTGCGGCTTGATTCGAGCTGAGTGGGGAACTGGTGACACATGCACCCGTAATCAGAAACTGCCATGGACCGATGTCCACTTAACGTGTCTCCTTGGGAAAAACAGTCTCTTTGTGAACACCGTGAAGTCTTTTTCAGTGGTGGCATTATTAAACCAGGAAAAGAAGCCACTCCTGTCAGTTTTCTATTCTGACAACTGTCCAGGGTCCACAAAGCACCAGCCCCTTTGCAGAAAGGGCTGCTCAGGGTCCCGGCCATTTGCCAAATATGCCCCCTACACTGTCTTCCTGGGCTCACGAAGTTTGAGCTGGAAGTGAAGATGGCTGTCCTGAAGCCAAACATTCAAGTCAAACAAACGGGCTGGTGGAGGACTGACTGCCCAAGATCCCGGACCCGGTAGTGAAGTTCTTTTCCTTTAAACAATTTCATTGGTTCCGGATCTTGGATGCCTTTAAACAAGGCAAGCCAGGCCCGGCCCCTTCCAAGTGTCTCTCAGAGTCTTACTCCTCCCAGATCCTTCTTCCTAGCCTGTTACTACCGCCTTCACGTACTCAATCTCAAATTACCTAAAAGGGCCCCTCATTTCCAACTTATAAAGAGCTGTCAAGTGGAGAATTTTTTTCACCTTAGAAATAAGATGTAGTAAGTCGACATCTTAATTTGTAGTCCTACCGAAAACTTTAGTTTTTATTATAAATCCTTCTATCTCAAAAGCTACGTAATAGTTTCTTCAATTGTAACTTTCTATGATTTTCTTTAATTTTTATTTTATATTGGACTATGATTTTCACAAGAGTAACATATATGCAAGGTATAATTAATACCAACGTGTTTTCCATTTACCAAATAACACATTACCTCTTATCCTGAGACAAGTTTATCAGAACAGCATACCTATGACAGTAACGTGAATATTATTAAGGCCGTGCTGGCTTTGCTACGTTTAAATTCAACATTATGTAAAATGCACTTCTGCGAGTATCTGAGAGCAGCCGCACAGCCTGATAAAATCAGAAGGCAGCCAGGACTTCAGCCACATGATAGGCTAACAGGCAGAAAGGAGGTCCCACAGCTCTGAGCCCAAAAGGCAGGTCGTCTATTTCTGCTACAATGGCTGTGCCCTGCCTCTCGCCAAGGACCCCCTTCAGCTCCTGTCTTCCCCGCTCCCCTCCTGGTCCACAGCTCCCAGCCACGCCCTCCCTCACAGGTCTGCTCCCGGCAGATGCCACCCCCTGCAATGGCACGCGTGTGCCCGTGTGGCGAGGACGGCCAGCAAGGAGGCCAGCCCTGCCCCCACTGGCGCAAACGGCCACCTCTGGTCCACTTTTCTCACATCACGCCCACCCTCATTCCTCCCTCGGAGTCCAGAGGCCCTTCCAGATGGGGCTCCGTCTCTGCCTCCGGATGCCTCACCTCTTTCACGTGGGTGTGAAAGGACACCGACATGTCCAGGAGGATCTTCCGCTGCTCAACTCGCCGAACAAAATCTTGTATCCGGTCCTCGAGCTGATGGGCGGCCTGATAGATCTCTTCCGGGTCACATTCCCCAGTCTGAGCCAGCTGTTCTGCTGCTTCTAGTAATTTATCCGCATTGGTGTATGTGTTCTGTGCAAGAGAACATTCAGAGACACAGAAGGTGAATAAAAGACAAACTGGCCAGGCTGGGGGCCATAATACACTGGAACAGAGTCAGTGTGTGATGTTCCTTTCTGTAAATCAAACAGAGAAAAGAGGAGGGGAAGAGATGATTTTAGGAGTTCAGAACATCTCCATGAGCAGCCTTTTCCATTCTCGTTTGAGGCTGTTAAACTCTGAACCTCACGGCAAAGCCCTTCCGTCTGAGGCAGTGATGGGGTATCTGGTAGGCAGCTGCTGGCCATCTCGTGACTCATAAAGGGCTTTGGGCCTTTTGCTGCCACGCAGCCAGAAGACAGCGCGTAGCCACAAATGCCTACCTCACTTTTTCTCCTGGTTTTATGACAGAGTGCAGAGTTCCAGTTTTGTGTCTTTCAGTATGATATGCCGCTTTAGGATAATTCCCCAAGATCAAGTGAAAAAGTTACGTTGCAAACAAACATAGGCTGCTGCCTCTTTTCACATGTTTCTACTTATCAGTAATTCTGTGCTTATCTTTCCTCTACTTCGGGGGATACGTTTTTTAAAGAAAAAGGAAATAATAACTACAATAGCTATAAAGTAGCCAGAGTTTTAAAGAGCTGAGAGCTGAGTATCAATTGGGTGTCTAAAATACTCTGAAAATTACTCTGTTTTAATTCTTGATAAGCGAGGCTGCAAATGGCTTCCTCAAATCAACAGGTTTGTTAGAGACCCGACAGTGTTCGAGGGACCTGCTGGCCAGAGGGCTGCCGACGGGAACGGGGAGCAGTCCAGCCGGGTGGGGGACCTCAGTGCAGGAAAGAACAGAATTCAGGCCCCAAGAAGCCCAGAAGAGGCATGCGGCTCCCCGTGAGACACTGGCTGAGCCCTTCGTCCTTCTCCTTCCCCAGCATTTCAGCCCCACAGCCGAGCAGGGTCGGCACCTCATGCATGAGACGGGGTGTGGCCCCAGGTGTGCGAGGGTGCCCCTGTGGGAAGTCCGAGCCTGATGGGGCACGGGGTGCCCCTGCACTGGGAAGCCTCCCAGGTGGAGACTGGTGACCTCCAGGGGTATTAACCTACTAATAAGCCAGTGCATCAGGATGATGAGAGGCGGGTTCCTCATTTTGGAGAAGGAGAATACTTGAGTCAACCCTGCAACACTGGATTGGAACTGGAGGATCCACGTAAGTTCACGGTTTTCAAGAGACACGTGTGTAAGTGTGCACCTACCCTCATGTCCCTCCCCGCCCCCCATCCACCAAGAGGGCCTGGGAACAGTGATGGCCCAGCAGCACTAAGCATGGTAGTACCCAGATCCCCACTTGTAAGCACCATTCTGCTCTGGAGGGAACCAGGGCTCCGTGGAGAAATGGCGGACTCCAGGGTTGGGGTGAGACAAAGTACAAGATGAATCTGTGACATCTTACCGTGCCCCAAAGCAAGGAGAAGCCCAAGAACAATGTGGACAGGAGAGAGAAGCTAGCTTGAGGAGGCGCATGCTGGCCAAACGAGGGACAATCTGAGCATCAGAGGGAACAGTGACAGTGATGGAGGATAATCCATACACTCAATCGGAAACCAGGAGTCCCGACTGACACAGAAAGTAAAACTGGAGGATGGACGGCATAGTTATAGAATTTCAAAGTACCTCCCCACAAAGAACTTGCTAATTACAAAGGGGGAACGACTCACTTTACAACGGAGACATCTGGCAGACACTACCTTAACCCAGGGATCAAAGTGGACACCGTAAGTAACAGGACAGATTAAACTGTGCAACCCTTGAAGGGACAGAGTTAGGAGGGCACGGCAGCACTCCTGGGATACACCTGCCAAAGACGTAAAACCAGAGTACAGGCATGAGGAAGCATCAAACAAACCCAAAGTGAGGGGCATTCTCCAAAACAACAGGCCTCAGATTTTCCAAAATGTCATGTCACAGAAGTTAAGGAAGGACCAAGGAGCGACTCTAGGCTGAAGGACACTCAGAGATGTGACGACTAAATGTCACAGGTGGTTCTACACTGGATCCCTTAGCTATGAAGGACATCGTGGTCTGAGGGTTAGAAGGTAGTCATGTGTCAGTGTTAATTTCCTGATTTTGATGGTGGTATTATGGCTGTATAGCAGGATGCTGGTAGGAAACACACACTCGAGTCAACGGTTTAGCGTGGGGGGTAGGTTCTCTGTGCTGTATTTCCAACTTTTCTGCAAGTTTAAAAAAATTTTACAACAGAGTAACATTCAGTGTGGTAAGTATGAGGTGATCTCAAAAATGATGCTGACGCACACTTAAAGAGCACGCGAGGCCCAAGCGTCAGGGTGGGGTGGGGTGGAGCGGTCCATCCTGGGCAGGCTCTGAGGGGGTGCAGTGTCGACAGGTGATTTAAACGTGACATAAAGACCAGCTGGAGGGCGGTCTGCTCTTCGTCACCAGCATAGGTTGATGGCTCCCTGCTCCAAGTGTGCCCCTGGCATGAGCACCTACTGGGCACGGGTCTAAGGGCCTCCCCCACACTGAGCTGTCTGATCCTAACCATCGCCCCTTTTACAGGTCAGAAGACTGAGGCCAGGAGGCCAATCTCAAGACTCAGAGGCCAAAGCCGGCAGGTGGTGAAGCGGGATGCATCCCGGTCTGACTCAGGGGCCTGGGCTTTCAACAACCCAGCGTATTGTTCAGCTCACCCCTCCCAATGGTGGTTCATGCAGCCCTGCTTCACACACTGCAGGGCTGACAGTCACCCCCTTCTCCCTGTCCCTCTGGAAAACCATCTTCAGGGGACTTTTCTTTCTTGGTACTATCCAAGTCTCACAAGAATGTTCTGCACTACTAACAAAGGATCCTTCAGAACTCCTAGAAATGATGGGAGAGACGTCAAAGAACCCCATAAGACTGACCGACATGGCCAGACTCGGAAAACGTCTCTGTGCACACTTTACATAGTCTTTGAAATCAATTACGTGGCCTCATCTGAAAAGCACAGTCATTCCCGATCTGACTGCAGAGCTTCAAAGCACAGTTAAAGGGTTTTGTATATATTCACCGTGACCCGCTGGGAAGCTAAGCTGTCCTAATTCCTGCGCAGAGCAGACAGTGCACCTGCCCACTTCCAAAGAGCTCTGGAACGACAAAAGCACTTTTCAGAAAAGTCCACTCTCCGTCCTGCATGACTCTGGCCAGCGGTAACTTTGTGACAAGAAGCCCTTCACACAGATTATCAAACCACCTGGGAGATTCCGAAGGACAGGACAGAAAGACTGTCACGTCAGTACCTGGGTGTCGCTGTGGTCACCCACAGCCTCAGTCTGGATAGGATCAGCCCTCCTCGTGGCCAGACGGACGAGGGAGGAGTTAAACTAGGAATGAGAATCACAGCGATGCGGTAACGATGAGGGAGGGATAAGGAAGCCATCGACGACGACACAAAAAGAAGCGACGGAAAATGTCGGGGCCACGAGGAGCCTCAGGGGGCCTCACAACCACATGCAGCGTGGATCCGGGATGGGGCCCCGCACAGAGGGAAACGAAGGAAACCTGAACGAAGTACGGACTTCAGTTCATCAGTATGAGTTATTAATCCTAACAGTAGCAGTTCAATATTACATTCGTATAATATTATATATTATTAGTATGATATTAGATCAATATTAGCTTACTAATGATAACAAATGCGCCGCACTAATGAACGGTGTGAGTTTTGATAACAGGGGAAACTGGGTGCAGGGTATGAGAATTCTCTGTATCATCTTCACCATTTTTGTGTGTGTGTGTGTGGTATGCGGGCCTCCCACTATCGTGGCCTCTCCTGCTGCGGAGCACAGGCTCCGGACGCGCAGGCTCAGCGGCCGTGGCTCACGGGCCCAGCCGCTCCGCGGCATGTGGGATCTTCCCGGACCGGGGCACGAACCCGTGTCCCCTGCATTGGCAGGCGGACTCTCAACCACTGCGCCACCAGGGAAGCCCCACCATTTTTCTGTACATCTAAAAGTTGTCTAAGAAAGTTTATTAAAAAGATATGATGTGTATGTATGTACACACACACACAGAGCAGATTTTGAAAAAACAGCCTTCACCTAGGGAACAGGTCCTGAGCACTGTCCACAGATTCTGTCACCTACTCCAGCGGTCCCCAACCTTTGTGGCACCAGGGACCGGTTTCGTGGAAGATGCTTTCTCCACGGACGGCGCCGGGGGATGGAGGGAGGATGGTCAGGCGGTCATGCGAGCGATGGGGGCGGCAGAGGAAGCTTCGCTCGCCCGCCCTCCACTCACCTCCCGTTCCTAACAGGCCGCAGACCGGTACCACTTGCGGACCCCTGACCTAGTTCTTCCCTCTGGGGAGACTGGCCTCCGGCCCCTCAGCGCAGCCCCTGGGCACAGAGAAAGCTCTCCTCACGATGGGCAGCTACCAGCCTCAAGGTTCCTGCTGGGCAGGTTCTGCATACACGTTGCCCCCAGAGGCCTCCACTCATCAGAGGCCACACAGTGAGGTGACATTCCTGGGGACGGTGGCTTTATGGGGACCCGCGCTTCCCTGCGGGGCCTCCCAGGACCGTGCTCTGCAGCTCTGAGCAGAGGCACAACCGGGCCTCGGGGCTGGACGGAGCAGACAGCGTAGCACGCTGTACACTGCACGTACACACCTGTTACGAGCTGAGTCCTGTTCTCGCATCTATTGTCACTACAGCCGTGAAGCCGCTTCCCTCTCGAGTTTAGTAAGTGGATCTGCAGGTGACAGAGCCTCCCAGCACATGCCAATTCTGAAGGCTTTCCGCCTCTTGGCCAGCAGGTAAAGACAGTTACAACAATCGACGTCCCAAAGGAAGAAGTGCATTTCTGAATGATCTGGGACACGAAACAGCACTCATTTCGTCTCACCTCTCATTTTACGCTTGAAGACCCTGAGCCAGTAGGAAGGTCTCCGTGGCTCTCCCTCGGCACAGCAGTAGGTACTGCTGGAGCTAGGGTTAGCCCGCGGCCTGTCTGAAACCCAAGGCCAAGGCCT